GGGAAAAGATTCTCTATCATTTCATAAGAAAATTTTTTTTTTTTTTTAAATTTTGCGACACCAGGAGACACCTCAGGATTGGGGGTTGCGACAGTCAAAGGGTTAAAGATTATTTTTTTATTAATACATCGGCTGTATCACTGTCTTGCCAGAAGAGCCATGCCTACACTACAGTTAAAAAAATTGCAACAGCATTGTTCCCATGTTTATGGCATCACTTAAACAATACACCTCTGATCTACCATGGTCTGCTGGAAACTTAATTAAACATTAGCATAAATGAAACGGGTTTATTTATTACTGTATTTACAAAGAATGTTACAGTACTATCACTCGCAGTGCTAAGTACTAGCCATAGCTAGAATTAATTGTTAGCAAAATATGGTAAGAATTACATAGAATCAAAGGATCACCACCAACAACTGCAGTGTAAATAATATAAGCGAGTATATGCTACATACAACACAACCTGTGACTGCCGGGGAAACTATTTTGGTAAAAAAACGTAGTCTTGTAATTTTGTCCTGACTGAAACAGGTGCCGGACTCTGTTGCGGTAAATCTGTATTGTACCTGTACATACATAAACTATATACATATAAATATATATGTTATATACATATATAAATATATATATTTTATATAATATTAAATTTAAATATAAAATATTATTAAAATATATAATTTTATTTTTTTATTTAATAAAATATAAAAAAAATTCAATACAAATATACATTATATATATGTACACATATCTCCATGAAGAAGTGGAGAGGAATCCTTCCTCAGTAAGCCATATATGTCATAAGAGGCGACTAAATTGCCAGGAGCAAGGGACTACTAACCCCTTCTCCTGTATAAATTACTAAATATAAAAAGAAGAAAAACTTTCATTTCTTCTTTTTTGGCTCACCCTGCCTTGATGGGAGACGGCCAGTGTTAAAAAATATACATACAGCCTCTCCTCACTTAGCGACATACTCGTTTACTGACAACTCAGACTTATGACCAGCTCTCCAACTAAATAATGTATATAAGAGCTGATTGGTAGTAGGTTGGTAGACAGCAACCACCCAGGGAAGTACTACCGTCCTGCCAGATGACTGTGAAACAGAAACCTGTAACTGTTTTGCATGATGGTAGGATTGCTGGTTTCTTTTTCTGTCTCATAAACACGCTAGATAACAGGGATATCTTGCTACTCCTACTTACACTTTGGTCACACTTCACAGACACGCACATGCATATATATATACATACATCTAGGTTTTTCTCCTTTTTCTAAATAGCTCTTGTTCCTCTTTTTTTCTTCTATTGTCCATGGGGAAGTGGAAAAGAATCTTTCCTCCGTAAGCCATGCGTGTCGTATGAGGCGACTAAAATGCCGGGAGCAATGGGCTAGTAACCCCTTCTCCTGTAGACATTTACTAAAAAAGAGAAGAAGAAAAACTTTATAAAACTGGGATGCTTAAATGTGCGTGGATGTAGTGCGGATGACAAGAAACAGATGATTGCTGATGTTATGAATGAAAAGAAGTTGGATGTCCTGGCCCTAAGCGAAACAAAGCTGAAGGGGGTAGGGGAGTTTCTGTGGGGGGAAATAAATGGGATTAAATCTGAAGTATCTGAGAGAGTTAGAGCAAAGGAAGGGGTAGCAGTAATGTTGAATGATCAGTTATGGAAGAGAAAAGAGAATATGAATGTGTAAATGCAAGAATATGTGGATTAAAGTAAAGGTTGGATGCGAGAAGTGGGTCATAATTAGCGTGTATGCACCTGGAGAAGAGAGGAATGCAGAGGAGAGAGAGATTTTGGGAGATGTTAAGTGAATGTATAGGAGCCTTTGAACCAAGTGAGAGAGTAATTGTGGTAGGGGACCTGAATGCTAAAGTAGGAGAAACTTTTAGAGAGGGTGTGGGTAGGTAAGTTTGGGGTGCCAGGTGTAAATGATAATGGGAGCCCTTTGATTGAACTTTGTATAGAAAGGGGTTTAGTTATAGGTAATACATATTTTAAGAAAAAGAGGATAAATAAGTATACAAGATATGATGTAGGGCGAAATGACAGTAGTTTGTTGGATTATGTATTGGTAGATAAAAGACTGTTGAGTAGACTTCAGGATGTAGATGTTTATAGAGGGGCCACAGATATATCAGATCACTTTCTAGTTGTAGCTACACTGAGAGTAAAAGGTAGATGGGATACAAGGAGAATAGAAGCATCAGGGAAGAGAGAGGTGAAGGTTTATAAACTAAAAGAGGAGGCAGTTAGGTTAAGATATAAACAGCTATTGGAGGAGAGATGGGCTAATGAGAGCATAGGCAATGGGGTCGAAGAGGTATGGAGTAGGTTTAAAAATGTAGTGTTAGAGTGTTCAGCAGAAGTTTGTGGTTACAGGAAAGTGGGTGCGGGAGGGAAGAGGAGCGATTGGTGGAATGATGATGTGAAGAGAATAGTAAGGGAGAAAAAGTTAGCATATGAGAAGTTTTTACAAAGTAGAAGTGATGCAAGGAGGGAAGAGTATATGGAGAAAAAGAGAGAGGTTAAGAGAGTGGTGAAGCAATGTAAAAAGAGAGCAAATGAGAGAGTGGGTGAGATGTTATCAATAAATTTTGTTGAAAATAAGAAAAAAGTTTTGGAGTGAGATTAACAAGTTAAGAAAGCCTAGAGAACAAATGGATTTGTCAGTTAAAAATAGGAGAGGAGAGTTATTAAATGGAGAGTTAGAGGTATTGGGAAGATGGAGGGAATATTTTGAGAATTGTTAAATGTTGATGAAGATAGGGAAGCTGTGATTTCGTGTATAGGCAAGGAGGAACAACATCTTGTAGGAGTGAGGAAGAGCCAGTTGTGAGTGTGGGGGAAGTTCGTGAGGCAGTAGGTAAAATGAAAGGGGGTAAGGCAGCCGGGATTGATGGGATAAAGATAGAAATGTTAAAAGCAGGTGGGATATAATTTTGGAGTGGTTGGTGCAATTATTTAATAAATGTATGGAAGAGGGTAAGGTACCTAGGGATTGGCAGAGAGCATGCATAGTTCCTTTGTATAAAGGCAAAGGGGATAAAAGAGAGTGCAAAAATTATAGGGGGATAAGTCTGTTGAGTATACCTGGCAAAGTGTATGGTAGAGTTATTATTGAAAGAATTAAGAGTAAGACGGAGAATAGGATAGCAGATGAACAAGGAGGCTTTAGAAAGGTAGGGGGTGTGTGGACCAGGTGTTTACAGTGAAACATATAAGTGAACAGTATTTAGATAAGGCTAAAGAGGTCTTTGTGGCATTTATGGATTTGGAAAAGGCGTATGACAGGGTGGATAGGGGGGCAATGTGGCAGATGTTGCAGGTGTATGGTGTAGGAGGTAGTTACTGAAAGCAGTGAAGAGTTTTTACGAGGATAGTGAGGCTCAAGTTAGAGTATGTAGGAAAGAGGGAAATTTTTTCCCAGTAAAAGTAGGCCTTAGACAAGGATGTGTGATGTCCCCGTGGTTGTTTAATATATTTATAGAGGGGGTTTGTAAGAGAAGTAAATGCGAGGGCTTGGCAAGAGGCGTGGAGTTAAAGATAAAGAATCACACATAGAGGGGGAGTTGTCACAGTTGCTCTTTGCTGATGACACTGTGCTCTTGGGAGATTCGAAGAGAAGTTGCAGAGATTGGTGGAATGAATTTGGTAGGGGTGAAAAAGAAAAAAAATTGAAAGTGAATACGGGAAAGAGTAAGGTTATGAGGATAAAAAAAAGATTAGGTGATGAAAGTTTTGGATATCAGATTGGGGGAGAGGTATGGAGGAGGTGAATGTATTCGATATTTGGGAGTGGACATGTCAGCGGATGGGTCTATGAAAGATGAGGTGAATCATAAAATTGATGGGGGGAAAAAGGGGTGAGTGGTGCACTTAGGAGTCTGTGGAGACAAAGAACTTTGTCCTTGGAGCAAAGAGGGGAATGTATGAGATTTAAAATTTTTACCAACGTCTTATATGGGTGTGAAGCGGGGTGATGAATGTTGCAGCGAGGAGAAGGCTGGAGGCAGGGGGAGATGTCATGTCTGAGAGCAATGTGTGGTGTGAATATAATGCAGAGAATTCGTATTTTGGGAAAGGTAGGGGGAGGTGCGGGATTACCAAAACTGTTGTCCAGAGGGCTGGGGAAGGGTTGTTGAGGTGGTTCGGACATGTGGAGAGAATGGAGCGAAACAGAATAACTTCAAGAGTGTATCAGTCTGTAGTGGAAGGAAGGCGGGTAGGGGTCGGCCTAGGAAAGGTTGGAGGGAGGGGGTTAAGGAGGTTTTTGTGTGCGAGGGGCTTGGACCTTCCAGCAGGCATGCGTGAGCGTGTTTGATAGGAGTGAATGGAGACAAATGGTTTTTAATACTTGACGTGCTGTTGGAGTGTGAGCAAAGTAACATTTATGAAGGGGTTCAGGGAAACCGGCAGGCCGGACTTGAGTCCTGGAGATGGGAAGTACAGTGCCTGCACTCTGAAGGAGGGGTGTTAATGTTGCAGTTTAAAAACTGTAGTGTAAAGCACCCTTCTGGCAAGACAGTGATGGAGTGAATGATGGTGAAAGTTTTTCTTTTTCGGGCCACCCTGCCTTGGTGGGAATCGGCCAGTGTGATAATAAATAATAAAAATAAGAGCTGATTTCCTCTATTTTGTTTATTACACCATGCAGTAAACTACTGTATAAACATTTAAAAATATGCCAGAAATGTTATAAATGGTGCAAAGGTGACATTAAAAAAATATGTAAAGATGGTTGTCATAAACCCACTACCAGTATAGTATGCTCCTCGTTTAATGACCAATTCACTTACCGACCTACTCTTAGGAATATAACCCTGTCGTTAAGTGAGGAGAGGCCATGTACATATATGTACAAGCATGCAAAATAGCCACTGGGGGAGTTTATTTTGCATCTTGTGTTGCTTGTTCATGATTATTGCATATACATACTATATATTTTGTAGTAAAAATTGGTCTGAGGTTTGTAGTTTCTTACAGGTTGGAGTATGAAGTGCGAAATAAGCTAAAAGAGAAAAAGGAGAAGGCTGCTTTTGCTGCATACATGAAAGCCAAAGCTGAGGGCCACACAGACATCGGCCAGATAAAAGGAGAGTGACCATTCGTCCGTAATATGAAAGCTGGCTCATGCATTATATTATAATTTTCTCATGTTTGTTATAAGAAATATTTTGTACATTTTATATTTATCATACTTAGTGGGCCTTTTTCTTATAAGTCTTGGTGTTCCGTGGTCATGGTATACTAACCAAAAAAATGAACACATTTCAATTCAGGTTTTTACTGGGATTTATTTATCATAATGAGAAGAGACAAGACCATCAATGTTATAATGATTAGGTGTATGGTTAGTGGTTGTTGACTGAAACCATGACCACAGTCTGTCCTAACTTGTCTTGTAAAACTTTATGACCACTTGTTGAAGAATGAAATATAGTACTATACAGAATGTATAAATTTTATAGAACAAATACACACATTTTGTAAAACATTAATTATATATAAATAGTATAAATAATGTAAATGTTTTTAACAAGAGTTTATATTGATTCTACAGGTACAATTTAAAAATGTAATGAATCTTGACAGGGAAACCTATTTTTTCCACGTACATGCATTGAAAGGTAGCCTAGGGTAACATCAGTGGTTGTGAACAAAATTTTGGAACTCTAGAAGCCAAAGCAAAATACAATACAGAAAATTGTGTGGTGTATATTCTGTGGTTTAGGGGAAGGAGAAACATAATTTTCTACATTAAGGAACAAAGTTGGTCTAGTCATTTTGGCAATAAATTCATCCATTATCTGTAGATGTTTTAGGTTCATTGACAATGTTGAAGTTCTATTTTTATTTTACATCCAACTTCAATGAAGCTGTAATCTACCAGTGCTCCCATTGAAACTTTTACAGTGATTAATTTTATTCATTGAGTTTTATTCCCAAGCTGGAGATTGCTAGAGAATGAAGGATACACTTAACAGTGAGTTCAGTATACTGACTTAGGATTTGGAAAGTGGCAAAGATTATTCTTCCTATATTTTATCATAGTGAATAAATGGAAAAGGAATGAAATGATTGTTAATTTTCCATTATTAACTTGAAGTTTTAAATATAGTGTATATGAAGCTAGTCAGAACAAGATGGGGCTTTTTTTTCTTGAAGGTTTTCCTTTATTTTGAAAGTTGAGCAAGTTTTACATATTGTATTACATGTGCTCATACTTCTTAATTTATTGAATATGTTTGATGTGACCAAACTACAGTATAATGAAAATAGGTATTTCTTATAATATTATTTTAACTGTGTGCAAGTGATGTTAGGCAAGTTTTGTGTTATGGGAAACTCTTAGGTTAAACAAGTGTAGTTTCAGAGTAATTGCAAGTACTGTGAAATAGTAGCACGTAGTTAGATGGAGAATTCAGCTATTGGGATGCACTTGTCTATTAAAATAAATCTTGTGTCTAAAACAACCGATAAATTTTAATCTTTTGCATCCAGAGGAAATAGTAGAGTTTTACTTGAGGTTTTTATTTTGAGTGTGTGGATGAATGTTCAAAAAATGAATCACTGAACAATACACAACGAATACACTCATTGCGCACTGTGGCGGTGGAATTATCTTCAATTACTGTGCTCCATTGTTCAAATTTCTCAGTGTAATGAGTAGTCTTGCAGAGATTTTTAGTTTTACATCATGTCTCATTGCATGTTTTATGTAATTAGTATTCAAAAAATATAAATTATTGTTCAGAAATTTAAAATATATAAAGCAAATCAGTTCCTCATGGTTTAACTTTAAGTAAATCACTACAGTAGCTAGAAAAATACAGTAGTTTTTGGTGTATATAATTCCTTAAAATAACATTTAATACACATCCACTTTGATACTTGTGTTGATAACTATGACAAGTTATTGAAAGTTATTCACTGTACCTTACTGTATATATTTGTTTTTTATTCAGTGTGAAAGTTCATTTGAGGATTGTGACCTATTTGTGTGACTATTTATATGAAAATGAGTACTTGTTTGCTTTTGGTATACAAAAACACTATACATGGAAGTAATTTTAAAACTAATCTTTACAACCATTGTTTGTTTTTTTAACAAGCACCAAACCCACACGAGTCATACAGCATAGTGCTTTATAAAGACTGATTCCTTAAACACCCTATATTGTAATGAACACTGCAGCTGTACTATCAGTTGTAGCATATTTCCAGATGTAATATACAGGTACATATATGTTAATAAACCAGAACATGGGGCCTCACAAATGTTAATACATTATACAATTACTTGTGATCATGTAGTGATTATTTATACACTACGTATGTGCATATCACTGATTTACTTTTGACTAAGAATTAATTTAAAATCTACTCATTTTTAATTGCCATCCTTCAAGAGATCATAAGACAGATAATTGAAAAATTTTCTAGCAAGTTCTCTTATTACAAGTTTTATCTATAATGTGTGCAGCTAGCATGCCTAAAGCAAGTGAGGTTACTTGATGCCAAAAACCACCTTGAGATGCTTCTATGTGGTGGCCCTTTGTTTTTTAAATGGAGCGTAAAACATTATTTTGGTAGGCAAGGAGACGCTGAATGGGTTGTCATCCAATAAAGACCTGTCAGACGGCCCTTGTCCTCTTTCCTGATGAGCAAGACACAACCTGATAACAAAGCAAACATATTTTTTATACGAGTAAAGATAATACTGGTTTGCAAAAGGAGGACCCCATGAAGAGATATATTGATAAAACAAATTCAGTGATGCTGTACAGTATAAGATATAATTTGTGCATGTTTTCAAAGTGATTAATGTTCCATCAAAAATTGTTGCTGCCTTAATTCATCTTGACCTTATTAAGTATTCAGTAAAACTGACAAAATTTGTTAAAGTATTCTCTTCCAGGAAATCAGTTATATATATGGAATATGTATTTGTTAAGTAACCTAATGAGCACCTTAATTTATAAAGGATAGTGAGTACTGTAGCATATTTTGGATGGGCTTAAATAGTGAATGTATGTATTTGCCTTCAAAATTTGGCACCCAGGAAGACGGGTGTGGGAAATTTAATGAAATTCAAATTAAAGAGCCTATGCAAATTTGATTCTGCATAAAAGTCGAGCATTAGTGTAGGCATACATCATGAATATGATGGGTTAGGTTTCAGACCACCCCCATAGAGTGAATCACAGCTTTCTTTTTCACTTGCCAGTGCACAAAAAAGCCTAAGAACATGTTTACACTATCATGAAGTACACAATAGCACTAAGCCTAAAAAAAAAGATGAAGTAAAAATGATAAATCTTTTTTTTAAATTGCTGAGAACCATCTTAAGAGCAAGGCAAACTCTAAAAATAATAATCATAAATATAATTGAAAAATGCCCTATTTGCAAAGGAAGTGCCATATTAATGAGGCGTGCCTGTATTTAGGTAGTAGCAGAAAATCGTAAATGTCTTAGAACCCACTATCAAATTTTGTTATCTACTAGATAACAGGCCTTCCTAAAGAAGGACCAACGTATGCCTGAGGAATATGCTGTATCAGTCTTAACATCAGTATCTTAAATCTTTTACAGGATTTCTCTTCAGTGGTTCTGCATAAGGGAACTTTTTTCTTCATGAAATGGTAATACAGTACTGAAATTTTGCTCAAATGTAATAAATTCAAAGTGTTATTTTATTTTTGCAAAGGAAGAGTTGAGTGGGAATGATGATCACAATATATCTTTTAATAATTAAATAGTAAATAATTTAATTGCTGTACTGTATTGATGAAATTCAAAAAATAGCATCAAATTTACTGTTACAGCACTAGTCTTTACATGTGTACCTTGAAAACAAATTTTTAATAGGCAAAATTGAAACATTATTTACTGAATGTGGTTTTATTTGCTCTTAAAATTGAGAGAATACAGTATAGTATTTAAAACAAATGATTCATGATATTTTGTTTTTAATGCTTTATAATTAAAGGCATGTAATATATTCTTTCTTCATATATGAACTTTTTCCATTGTGTATGAAACCACTGTCACCAAAACTGCACTATTGATTATTAGGTTCCCATTCTATATTGTTGATTCAAACTATCTTATTTGGTTATTATCTGCATAAATATCATTTTCAGAGCGGCAGTGACTTGATCTTGCCACCGCCAAGTGCATTTATAGATAAGGCTGCTAAGCTGTTGGTATTTTCTAAAAAGCACAGAATGCAGTGGTTAGTGATGTATTATAATTAGCAAATTGGTACCTGATGTGTGTGATGAGCAATTAGTTGCCTTTGGTCAGATTTTCACTGTGATCCCTAAGATAATCTTATTTTTTGCTTGTCTGAATGTCTTGTCCTTCCTGGCTCTGTAGGCAGCGCTCTTGCCTCACACACAGAATGTCCGTGGTTCAATCCCTTACCTGGTAGAAATGTTGGGGATGTTACCTTACACCTGCTGTCACTGTTCACCTAGCAAGCAAGTAGGTACCTGGATGTTAATTGACTGGTGTGGGGGGACAAGACTGAAGGACCCCAGTGGAAATAAGACAGACAGTCCTCAATGATATGCTGACTTTCATGGGTTATCCTGAGTGGCCAATCCTCCGGGTTAAAAATCCTTACAAATCTTAACTTATAAATCTCCATATTAACCAGGAGCACTGAATGACCCCCCACAGGTTTAGCGCTTCCATGAATATAATCAATATTAATATTTCTTGTGTTAATTAGAAGTGCACATATAAAAAGGTTTCTGTAGCTGAACTGGTTGATAGACTTTTAATACAGATTTTTCATCAAGTTACCTAAGAAACTCTCTTCTCTTGGTGGCAGTGTTGTGAGAATATAAAGAGTATGTAACAGTTATCATTCCTCATTTTAGCTGTACAGAGTTATCATTGTAGTTGATAGGTGAGAATATTATAATGTATATAAAAGAGTGAAATAGTGTACACTTACAATGAATGCAATCATAGATGCTTTGAGTGCTGTATTAGCACTTGTATATTTAAAAATGTCTGGATTTGGAATTCACATTGAATGATCCCCCAGAAGAGATGGAAGAAGAATGCTATATTAAAGAATTATAAAAATCACTGGTGCATTCAGACCATAATGTGATGCCATGTTTAGCGAGCTAACTTTTGAGACTGTTTCTTTTGGGAAAATTGGAACACTAGTTAATAAGTAGTAAATAGCTTGACAGAAAAATGTTTTGAAGGCACCGGCAGTGTATATTCTAGACAGATGTACTATATATCTTGTGTGAATTGTTTCACAAGTTAACCTTGAATTTGAAGATTAGCAGGAGTTGTGGTTTGTCTTGAACTGTTACTGAGGTTTAAAGGTTAAGGATAAACGAAAACATCTGAAATTCTTCTCCAAATTGTAGGTTAATTGTGAATTGTTCCAACCATGTTATTCTTGCATGAATTTGCTATAAGTTAAGCCAAATCCTTATGGTATTTAATTTTATGCAGAAAGTATCCAATGTTGTTGACATCCAGACAAAATAATTTCTTTGAAATATTGGTAGTTTAGTTCAGCTGGCTAAAGGACTGCAAAATTTTCTATGATTATGGAAAGTTGTCTGATACTGTCTGAAGTTTGTATCCTTATCAGTATTGTTGTAACACTCAGCAGCATTGAACTCGGAGAGCTGCAGCTCAATTATTGTACATCAAGTTTTAGACGTAGAATAAATGGCATTGTAGGAACCAAGTTTGACTT